CGCATCCACAGGCCCCCGTCGTGATTGGTGCTGGAAGTACCCCTCGTGAGACACGAAATAGCCAAAGGGTAGTTTTGCAGGTGGGGGAAACTGAGGCACGGAGCTGACGCGCCTCTCCCAAGGCGGCACAGAGTCAGTAAGCCCATCTCCTGAGGATGCTTGGAACCAAGGTTTGGGTTCCGGGTACATCTCTGCTCTTGAAGTTTAGTATAGTGGCAGATCAGCTGGGGGGCGGGGGGGAGAAGGGGGCTGGAGGGGGTGTCTACCTGAGAAATGCCACTGGGAGGAGGTCTCCCTGCTCATCCCCAGCTGCTCCAGTGCTAAGGAGGCTGAGAAGGGAACCGTAGCTCAGTTGGGGGCGGCGCGTCCCTTCCCGTGCCAGCTCATGAGGCAATAGCTAGCCTGATGAAATGAGACCTTGGTATCTCGAAACACAGAGCAGCCATGTTTTTGTTGGCTGCTGGCTGATGGGAAGCTTTGAGGCCCCAGCTGGTGCCATGAGAACAGGCAGGGGGGGAAACGCTGCACCCGGCAGACTGGCAGGATGCTTGTGTCTCTCGGAGGGGCAGATTGGTGCCTGCGCTTGGCGCGAGTCGCGGACTGCTCTGCCAACAGCGTTGATTGGCAGGCCCCGGTGGGTGCTGTGCTGACGCTGAAGGAGGGTGGAGCTGTGGTTAAGACGTCAGTATCTGGACTCCTGGGTTCTATTCCTGGCTCTGGGAGGGGAATGTATCTTAGTAGTGAGAACAGGGGACTGGGCGACAGAGACACCTGGGTTCTCTTCCTGGTTCCAGCATGGTTAGAACGGAGGAGTGGGCATCAGGACGACTGGGTTCTATTCTCAGTTCAGCCACTGCCTCACCGTGTCCTCTTGGGTGTCCAGCCTCCTTCGTGCCTCAGTTTCTCTATCTGTAGAATGTGTCACCAGGATTCAGGCTTAACTATCAACTGGTGCTGCTCTGTGTCCCCCTCTGGTGGCTGGCCTGCATGGGGGGGGGGCTAAGAACCTACAACTGCTACCCTCAAATGGCATTGCTAGGAGAGCATTCCCTGGGTTCCTTTTAGTGCTGAAGTTCCCAGGTTCAATCCCGCCTTGCGGTCAGAGTTCTTAGATGTGCAGAGTTGGATTTTTGTTGCTCGCCGGCTCCTGATGGGATGTTCAAATTTAGCAGCCCTCGGTGCATGTTGGGAAGAAAATGCTGAGGCGGGGCTTTCTCAGGGTCTGGTAGGGGCGGGCTGGCCATGAGCGGCTGCGTATTGGGATGTGGGGGGAAGTGGTGGTTTGCATGTCGGATGATTTCATCAGCACCCTGCTTGCCACACCCCAGCTGGGCCGGGCGGCAGCTGTGGTGCGATTGGGGTCTGAATGCATCTCCTCTCCCCGGAGGCCTGGTTGGGGGCAGAGCTGCAGTGGGTATGACCGATCCCAGGCGCTTGGCGAGTTGACACCTTCCCCTCCTGACATCCCACTCCCTGCTTGCAGGCTGCTGGCACCAGCTGTCACGGTCTTTCAAACAGTCGCCCCCACTCAAAGCCATGGGGAGCTAGCTTGCAAGGGGTGGTGGGGGCCTGGGATCTCCCCATGCATCTCTGCCAACTCCCCTCAATCCGCCCTCCCAAGCACACCCACCCCCTCTCTTCTGCTAGCCAGAGCCCTAGGTTTTTGGCTGAGCGGGGCCTGCCAAGGACAGGCAGAGAGGGGGATGAGGAACGCCACACCGGGCATCTCCTGAGAGGTCTGGCTTCCTAGCAGAGACGCTGGGCACCAGAGGCTGCTGAAGTTGCTCCCAGAAGTGCCTGAAAATGACCTTGGATGAATGAATTTGCCGGGATTTTGAAGAGCGGGGGTCTGCTCCTGGATCCAAGGTGGTGGAAGCCTTGAATGTGGGGCCATGACCCTTTTGGGAATGGGCCATGGGGGAGCCATTCGGGGGAGGGGTCTGTGAACCGCTGCTAACTGCATCTTCCGCATGGGTGGAACCAACACTTTGTGGATCTGGACCCCGTGGGAAAGTCCCTCTCTGCAGCTCTGGGCCCATCTCTGCTTAAGATGGAGGCTTCCTTGGCATTGGAGATTCCAGCTCTGGGGGTAGCTGGTTGGGGCAACGCCCTAGTGCCTGTCTCTCAGGACTCCCTGCTGGGACTTTGGTGTGCGTGTGTGTGTGTGCGTGTGTGAG